TTTTAAATATAAGACATTTATAATGTTACAGAAGATTCTATTCATCAAAACAATTCATTAGAAATGTACAGTTTCCACAAAAATATTAAGCAGCACAACCACTTTCAACAATGATAATGATAATAAATGTTTCTTAAACATGTTAAGTTAGCATGTTAGAATATTGTTTTAACAATCAGATGATGAATGTTTATGCCGAATGCAGTTTCAAGTCCACACATATGCATATTTTTAATATCCATATATACATATATACATACATAACATCTGTGCTTCCCATCTCTTGGAAAAAACACCAGCCACCACTGACAAATGCATCCGATTTGATTTTATTCAAGCTTTTTTTTTTACATTTATTATTAGAAACTCTAGTTAACATAACTTGAGGGCAGTGAAAGCATTTCTGATTCATAATCCGTTGTCCTCATTGGCTGTATACCAGGAGACAACTGTGAGTCAGGTTAACTATGACCCTACATGCACTTATGATATTGGTAATTCTCATTCTCAGGAGCGCTTTGGAGGAAAGCAAATTCATGTGAAAAGAGATGAGGTTAGTTTCTCTCTCTGTTGCTGGGCGATCGGGAAAATATTCAACAGTGGTCAGTGTATCCGGCCAAAACCAGAGCAGCACCGGCCCTTCATTTGGTAAGGAGAGAGGAGGAAGAGATACACTGCAGCCTGGGATTGTGTCATGTCACATTCTGCTCATCTGTCAATGTAGTGGATTATTTCTTGAGAGACCCGAATTGGCTGCCTGGAATCAGACCGCCATCAATCTCGGCTGAGAGTGGAACGCGGGTGAGGGCCCGTCCTGCACAGACTCATGGGATGCAGATGGCTTGGAGCCGGTGCCTGAACAGGTGATGGAGCAGCGGAGCGACTCAACTCGTTACTCAATATAAGCCTCAGCTGTGACTGGGTTTTTTTGTTCGTTTCTCAAAAAAAAATAGGGTTTTGGGGGACAGAGAGAGAATTCAAAAGCAACCAAATCCATTTTGGTATTCATGTCAAGCTCCTGTTATAGGAGGTAAGCCGATTTCTGCAGTATTGTGAAATGCCTGAACTGCATGGAGGATTACACTTGTACAGAGACACCTCTGACCTGACAACTACTGTATCCATCATCCTCAGACAAATAATGATTCTGCTAACTGTGCAGCTAAAGCTACTCGGCTGCATCAACTCCGTATTTACTACATTAACATATTTGTTTAAAACACATTTTGCCTCTATCAAAAAAAAAAAGAGAGCAAAGGGAAATAGTATCAGAATATGTTGCAGGCTGGACTCGAACCTGAATTACCCACTTAAGCACCAAAACGCAACATTCAGCAACTGATCACTTGTTGCCTGATCATTTGGTGAGCTAAAAGTGGTGAGCTAAAAGGCAGTACTTTGCAAGAAATGGTCAATAACTGAAAATTGATTTATTGAGTGATTTATTACCAAAAAAATTAACATTTTGCCAGATATTGCCTTGGTCAATTGTGCAACTGTATTCAAGGCACTCGAACTCGAATGGACTCGAACCTGCACAACATCTGATTATTTGTTGGTTATTGGTTTTTCTATCACTGATTTTTTGTCTGTCTTGCTGGAACCATTTTCTGTATGAGAGAGAAAAAGTTGGACTGTGTTCAGGATGTGTTACATGCCAGACATTAACTAAACAATTCTTCCTGAAATAGAAAACACTGTCCATTATTCAGCACAACATCTACAGTCTTAATTTCATCTTTAATAATAAATGGTCATTAACAGGGAATGTAGAAAGATAAACATCTGCCTTAAACATCAGCTTCAGCTCAAACTTCAGCATCAAGGACATCAGCCTGCATTTCATCATTTACGAAAGCTTTTGGCTCAGGCACTTAAACTTCCACCTTGATTATGGAAATACAATTGCTCCCGGTTACACGGACACACTTCTGTCTAACCCACAGGGTAATATGGTGCTGTTCTCTCCTATCTGGATTTTGAAGCATTTTTGGCATTGATATAAAGTGTTTGTCCTCGAATATCATCGGTGGGGGTGTTTCACGGTTAAATAAATGGTGACAGCTTTTCAAAATGAATCATGCTCTGCTTTCCTTTACTCAGTCTCATTTTTAATCGTGGATACTTTTAATAGGCTTTGATTGCTGGATAATAGCACCATGGATAAAAAGAGAGGCAAGAGAAAAAAAAAACATTTCAAAATGTTAGATCTCTCTCCAGGCAATGGAAATCTATTTATATTAAAAGGTCTTCTTAATGAAACTAGAGATGGTTTTAGAATTACAAAATCAATTTTAATTCAGGTATTAATCATAGTATTTTAATTCCCAGAAACTGCTGCTGTCCAACCCTTACCAAAAAGTAGTATACTTCAAGTTTATTTTATTAAGTATACTTAAGTAAAGTTCGAGTATATTTTTGAATATCTGAACATACAAAACGTCAAAAGAACAGGGTATCTGCTTGTAAACAAAACAAATTTTTTTTTTAAACATTTTATTCTAGCTTCATGCATTCTTTTTTTAAACACTTGAATGTGGGTAAGTTTTATAAATAAAAACAAATAAACAAAATGTTGAACAAAAAGCTGAAAAAAGACTATTAATTGGATTTAGAATGATAATCAAAACGTAGATGGAGTCGATCAACACCCCAAAGCTTGACAGTCATTATTATTTTAAGTATATTTCTGAAAAGTACATAAAGCCCATGTCTGAGAATTACACAAAAAGTAAACTGAAAGTATACTATATAGAAGTATACTAATAGCACACTTGAATATACTTCTTTTTCGTAAGGGAAGCGATTTCAGTGAGGAGCCTGTGCATTATCAAATTCTTAAGACTAAACGCTTTTTACCCCCCCAAAATTTAGAAGAACTGCATGTGGGTGGATCTCAAAGAAATGAAAGTTGTAAGAAAGAATCACATAAAACAAAATAAGAAAATACATAATAATAATAATAAAATACATTTCAAAAATATAAAAAGATAAAAACAGAAGTCGAAAATCTGTGCAAGCAGAGCAGATGTCTTGAAATAAGCATCATCAAAACTCTCCATCCCAAAAATGATTGCAATTTAAGATATTCTCTTACATTCAGTAAGAGAATACATACATACATACAGTTTTAAAGTCAACTGAGATGGAAGAAGTCAGCAGGTATTATTGAAGGGTAGCCAATGATATCTGCAGACCTGACATCAAGAAAGCTCATTAACAATACTGCTTTAGATGCTTTAGATGTTTGTTGATTCATTTAGCTACAAAACAGGGCCTTTGTGGGATGGCTTGAGGAACTCAGTGACATCTAATTAGCCCGTTCCATGTCTTTGCACATTTGCCATTATAAAGGAATTACATAAAAAGACTCCATTAAGCCTGGTTCATCTAATAAATGTAGTATTACACCACAGAACTAGAACCGTAGACAAAGATTTCATACTTCGAATTATGATTCAGTCACAAACGAGGTCTCACTAAGAACTGAATCTGTTACTCCGTTACTGAATCACTTTAATGTGAAAAAGTGTTCTTTTTTACGCAAAAAGAACATACATGAATTTTGGTACTGCCATGATGGTCCAACGTGCAGATGATGTTATCTTAACACGTAAATAAAACATTTCACAAAAGTTGCAGTTTGAACAAGCTTTGTTTTCGCAGTAAACATACATGATTTACCCCCTCCCCCGGTTTAGTTTTTTCCTGAACAAACGTGCCAAACCATGAGCACTTAGCAAAACCCGATGAAAAATCTTCAGCCGCTGCTATATGGATGCGTGCGAGTGTGGGAGCGCGTTTAAAAGCTACAACCCTCCATTACCAAGCCCTTCTTGACCTTCCTAACACCAGAGATGTGATTTCTCACACGCGTTTTTGTCTAACTTTTCCATATAACGTGGAGTAAGGTGGGGGATGATTTCTTTTTGTTGTTCAGCCGACCCTTTCAATAATTCAGGGAACACTTACTATGGGGCATGCTCTTCTTTGTACATCTCTGGCACTGTGCTCTGCTGGGCCGGATAAAAACCTGGAAGAACGGTGTTAAAAATGAATCCGATGTATATCGCGCTTTTCTCTCCTTGTATTGGATTAATGAGTTTGAAGTGCTTTCTGAAGCTCTCTCACATACGTACGGTGTCTTATAAGATGGTAAACCTTAAAAATAAATGAATAAAGTCTGCAATAAATAAGGCGCTAATCAACTATACTAGGACTCCTGGTGTGCTCCTTTTTTTAAATCGATAGTAATGAAGTAACGAACACATTTGCAACAATCTATAAGGACAAGACATTGCAAATATTTAATGAGCATGCGGTGATCTAACTCGTGCAGCGTTAAATTGCTTTGGAGTTCTTTGTTGCCTTGCTCCGCTGCTGAAAGTATGCCACAATCGCTTCCATTTGCATACTTAGTGTTGAAGAGAGACCCACCTTGCTGTCTCTCTTCCCGTCGGCCCTCGTAGCGAAACACTACTTAATTGCCAAATACTTCCATAGAGCGGGCGATAGACGTAAATTGTCGTTTCCACCAGAGCTTCTGTGATCAAAGCTGCTCGTATTCACAGCATGCTGATAGGAGAGTTTAGCCTCAAGCCTGTCTCGCACACACATACGCACACGGAAGATTGTAGTCTGGGTAACTCGTGATGCAAAACCCTTTACAAGCCACTCGTTGAAAGCAAAAACAAAGCGTCTTGAGCTGGATTTCTACATAAATCTCTTTTCATGACCAAGGTGGGGCACAAGAAGAAGATAAGATACCAATCACAAAGTTTCATAAGCACCGCAATGAGCGCTTTATAGATTTAAGCTGACTTTGATGCAAATCTGATAGCTATAAAGTCAATACATACTCATTTCGATCTCAAAACATGAGCGTTCCCAAACCGAACACCTACAGTACATGGACTTCCACAATCAGCAGAGTTAAACACTTCAACGAACACGTCACTGATTCAGTGACAAAGAACATACGGTTTAAATTAGACACTGACCCAGTATCTGTATGGCGTTGCGGCCCGGGCGGGTCACATGATGCTGTTGGATGGTCTCATACAAAGTGGCGTGGCACAGCAGTAAGCAGCTAACACTTATCCACAGACACGGGAGCCAGGACATGGCAGGAGCAACGGCTGAAGAGAAAAGACATCAAAGACAGAAGATAAAAGCAGAATGTTTATTCTATCTGACACACACCTACATGCACGTACTATTTCAGCCCTCAGCATTACTGAATATTCTGCCGTTAACAAGCATTATTTCACACTGTAACTTTTATTTAAAGTCAATATAATTTAAAAATGACAATGCGGTTTGAAATCAACAGATATAGTAAAATATGACCACTGACTGATCACTAGATATTGTTAAAACGACACTAATTGATCTTAAGGGAATAACCTTGTTTTTGTTTGCAGTACTTTATGGTGAGTCCTTTCATAACTAGTGCATAACCTTGGATTGATCAGCACTGCAAGACAGGAAGACAAACCAAACAAGTTAATTTATTTCTGTTTTATTATATAATGACACTGTTTTAGGGTCAAAACATATCAAACCAAACCAATTAACAACAATTGACAGTATAGACAAATGTGCAGTGATGAGCCAAAATACTCAAGTACTGCTCACTGCAGAGCCAAATGACCTCCAGCTCCCCCTCTCTGGATGTCCAGCTCCACCTCTGTGTGAACTAATGGGTGGAGTTATGTTTAGCGATATGGTAAGGCGTAGGGTTAGGGAGTGGTTGGGTGTCTAGCTCCACCCATTACATCCAGCGAGGGGGAGCTAGAGCTCCAGCTCCTCCCATGTGGCTCTGCAGCGAGCACCCTCTCAAAATACTCAATACAGAAAGTCTTGGAATGTTTAGTCCAAGTTTTCTCCAACTTTACATTTGTAAGACAAAGGCTGAGATAGCTTGCTATTAACACTTTTAAATTACACCTCGGCTCAACTTCTAACTAAAAATGACAAAAACTCCCTCACTTTAAATGGCAAACAGTGTTTAATCAATGGATGGCACATCTGAGTTCTCCTGCACTCTTCAAGCTGACAGGCAGGAGCATCACGCAGTGTACCCTCAAATGACATTGAAGTTTCCAATGAATATTCATCAAGCCCCAAAATTAAGCATATAATTATTAACAGCACATTGTAATCCCCTTTGCTCCACTAAAGCCTCCTTAATCCACAGTTTTGTGGAAATGTGAACTGTTCCCAGAGGAGAGCTATTCTTTCCCTGGCTGGCAAACTGCCTTAAAAACTTCAACTGTCTTCTTCAACACTATAAAAGAAGATTTAGCACATGCAATCAAGTCTATGGACATACAACAGAGAAAGATTATCTTTAAGCAAAATGATCAGCCATGGACTTCAGAAGGTCACATAAACCTCAACACCGACGCAGTGTATTCTGTTGCAGACCTTTCATTTTCCAGGTAATATAAGTCACTTCTCTATGAGACGGTGTCTGGCAGCAGCTTGGGGAGTCGGTGCTCGCAGCTACTGTATAATGAATGCACTGATCTGACAAATCATCTGTTTGGATGCTTTTACATGTTTTACTTTACGGTCCGCATGCTCATCACCGTCCTCGGACACACCTGCACACGATCACCGCAAGATATTATGTACTCTACACACTTAAGATGAAGTGCCTATACATTTTGTGGGTAGAAATAAAGAAAAAATAATAATAAATAAATTATATTATTTTCTAATATGAATAATAATAATTATTATTAATATACAATTTCTGTGTGGTTTCACACATATTATTCTGAGAAAAAATAAATATCTATATACTCTGTATTTGTTCTTGCACTGTATTGCATCTGTTATCATTACAAAATACAGCTTGTGTGTGTTATTGAATGTAAAATATTGCCCATCATATTTTCACTTATGTCACAGCAGCAGCACTGAGCTTAGAAAGGACTGGCAGGAAAATCCTATAAGCTCATCTGATCTGCACCGTATTGAAACTGTCAACTCTTAGCATCTTTTATTGGCACGTAGGCAAATTATCAATGACTCAGAGACGCACATAATACATGCTTAAAAGTTTTCCGCTTCAAAAATGCACACACCTGCTGACTTTCTAGTCATTCTTGCGAACTGACTTCATGTAGATTTTTTTCGCATCTTCCCATGATAAAACTATCACATTTAATCTTACCTGTGAGATACCGTGAGAAGAATGTTAAAGAAATGTGCCGTCAGCTGTTCACCCAATATCCTTAGCACATAGTCATAAATCCATCCATGCTCTCGGGAAAGAGCTTCCCAGCAAAAGTTCCTGTTTGGATCTGTGGGTCAGAGGGGGGATGAGGAGACTTTTGTTCCCGCTCCTGCCCTTGATCCCCTCTTCTGTTGTAAGTCCTCCTGGCTGCAATCCACCGAACACAGTCAGGCACCCGCCAACAGAAACTCCCGTCACAGCTGTGAAACGCTGTCAGAAACTAGCTGGGATTTGAGGGACGAGAGGCTTGTCATGTCACCTTTAAATCACCAGAGAAGCAACGTCTTCCTCCTGTTTCTCAGCCTCCTCACGCTTCTCTCTGAAGGTGAAGCTTCTTTGGGAGATAACAAGCTAATTTGCCTCTTCACTTTTTGGTCTTGCACATGCGACGGCACTTCTCTCTCGTGCGCTCGCTCTCTCTGTCCCTCTCTCCTCTCAGCTCTTCTCTCCCATTGCGAAGCCACTCAATACGAGTCTCTCCTCTTCCCAGTGTACTGATTGGTGTGCACACGCATGTGTGAGTGCAGGCGTGCTTGTGTGTATGACAATACCGCCTTGCGAGTGGGAGAGCGAGATGTCTTAAAGCAAGACTGCCCACTGTAGCCGAACAGAAAGGCACCTATACAGTTGATTTAACCTTGTATGCGTGTGGTTTCTGCGTGCAACTGGAGCCTGGAATAAAGACAGACAGGATGGTTTAATTTCACAATATGCTTCCTCAATTCTTCAGATTTTGGAGGGTTTGAACAAAGACTGAAATATGCTCAGAGCAACACGCTTTTAATAGAAGGGTGTCCGCAGCTGCGTTTGCAATCATCTCATTATTCTGAAATTGCTGCTGTTTCTTTGCCTGTTTGTACAATCTAAATGGCTCTTTGTGTTGCGCGTGGCTCTCGCTGGTTGTTGAGTGTTGCCAGAAAAAAGTTGCAGCTGGCACGCCTGGCACACAGAAACAGTCATCCCCTTTATGTGTGCAGATGCTGTTGTGGGAATTCAGTGGTTTTTATTATCCAAAATGATTTATAGATAATAAAAAATTAGATAAATAAAATAATAAGGAATATATGTATGTATTTATGTATGTACAGTATATATATATATATATATACATATACATATACACACACACATACATACACATACATACTCATATGTCGTGGTTAGAATTATTGGCACCCTTGGTAAATATGATCAAAGAAGGCTGTGAAAATAAATCTGCATTGTTAATCATTTTGATCTTTTATTTAAAAAAATTCACAAATATCTGACCTTTCATTGAACTAAAACAATTGAAAATGGGAGGAAATCTCATTATGAAATAAATGTTTTTCTCTTATACACATTGGACACAATTATTGGCACCCCTAGACATTCTTATGAGTAAAATATCTGTGAAGTATATTCCCATTCATATTTACAAGTTTGAGCATACCAGGGTGATTATGAACATGAAATTATCCAGCCATGGCTTCCTGTTTCACAGGAATTATTTGAACAATAATTAAATAGGTACAAAAGAAAATTTGCAAATATCCTTTAGAATATTTACCTTAAAAAGTATTTTTTTTAATAAAAATAATAATTATATTTAAAAACTCCAGAAATGATTTCATATAGCAGATGGCCTTGATACAGAATAATGTGGTTAGAAAAGTATCATATGAATAATAGTGTATAGAGCTTAGCAAGTTAGAAAGGCAAAATGACACACACACACACGTATATATATTTATGCCTTTTCATATTACTTTTCTAACCAAATCTATACTGTATTAGCAACAGAAACCACCGTCTCTCGGGGGCCAACTGGGATGTGAAATGTAGGCAAACCAAATCTCTTGCAATTTTACAGGCGTATGCTGAGGCAGTCGTGTCAAGATCTATTCCTTCTTTCTTGACACAACTGACTACATCGTGACGTTTCAGTGACAGTAAAGCTGACAAATGCTGCATAGAGCAGCTGGAGCGGAAAACCTGCACACGCTGTCGTCACATGAATATCTAAGGGCTGAAAAATATGTGTGAGAGCGTGCACGAGTGTAGATGAGCGAATTAAAATCAGACAGATAAAGCACTTGACTTCCCCAACTGATGCTTAAATCAGAGTTCCATTTCTGATCGTAGGAACACAGTTCTACTTGAGCGCAGACAGTGAGTCTAGCCAAAGGGTGTTTCTTGTCCTGCTGTTGTCTGAGACGCTCAGTGGTCTCCACACAGAAGACTGCCAAGACTGGGATCGCAGGCTGGAATGGAGCAACTGTTGTTAAGGGGTACAGGGGAAAAAATACAGTCTAACGAAACAGTGAAAGGCAGATATTTATTATTTTCTCAGCAGGGTGCCCTAAAGAGACCAAGGGACTGGTTATCTGCTGAGGTAATTGGCACATGTGTAAGTGTAACTGTTAACAAGATATTTCTGCATGTACACTAGTGGCCAATGATGTGTTTCACCAAACTGCATTGCGATGGCTTGAGAATATCTATAAACTGTCATTGTAAAAAAACAAAAAAACAAAAAAGACAAAGACAAAGTGAAAATCCTTAAGCTAAATTTAATTGAGAAGAAATATAAGATATTATGGCTCGATTTCATAGGCTGTATCTTGAAAATAACTGTATTTTGTCTTATTGCAGATGTTTAACTTGTTTTAAATGAATGTAGATGTGATACACACACAGACACATATATACATATATAAATATATATATACACTGAACAAAATTATAAATGCAACACTTTTGTTTTTGCCCCCATTTTTCATGAGCTGAACTCAAAGATCTAAGACTTTTTCTATGTACACAAAAGGCCTATTTCTCTCAAATATTGTTCACAAATCTGTCTAAATCTGTGTTAGTGAGCACTTCTCCTTTGCCGAGATAATCCATCCACCTCACAGGTGTGGCATATCAAGATGCTGATTAGACAGCATGATTATTGAACAGGTGTGCCTTAGGCTGGCCACAATAAAAGGCCACTCTAAAATGTGCAGTTTTACTGTGTTGGGGGGTCCAGGGGGGGTCCGAAAACCAGTCAGTAACCCACTGTATATATATATATATATATATATACATATATATAATGCATTTGGCAGTTGCTTTGGATAAAAGCATCTATAACATGGCTAAAAAAGAACAAACAAGGGCCAACCATCAACTGAAGAACACATTTTGTCATGTTGCTTCCAGTCTCAACAGCTCCATTGATTATAATGAGAACAACCTAGTTTTGACACGCTGACATGGTGTGAGGAAAAAGGAACCGTAAGTAATGAGGAAAAAGTTTACGAGTCCCTGTGAACTTTGAGCACAGACCTTGAATTTTATTATGGGCGCCCTGTTGACCACTGCTTTCATCAGAGCGTTAGCGCCATAATGTAATTGCCGTGACTCAGCAAAATACTGCAGCTAAAGATGAAGGACTTAATGGCATGGACGTGAAGCACAGAATGTGACAAAATGAGTATAATTTGTAACTAATGCACTGCCACAAAAGCACAATGAAGGGGGAGAAGGTGGAATTAAGGCAGCAGGGTTAAAAAAAAACTGAATTAGCTTAGATGAATGCATTAGCATTTGACTAGCTGTGCTTTTAAAACTCCTTTTGTACTGGCCGACTTCATGAAAATGCATGGCTTATGAATATGGCTCGTGTTTATTTAAGGCGCTTCAAAATCACATTTGTGTTCTGTCAATGTTGTGTACCACTAAAACTTGAAACACTTCTTTCTCGAAACATCTTTATATGCCTCTAAGGATGACTTAAAAGAAAAATCATCCAATTAGTAGTTTCTCACGGCGATTATGTATGTTTACGACAGTGATGCCAATCCGTGTCTCATTGTTTTGTCATCTGGGGTTTGGTTTTCTCATTTATGACTTTTTTTTTCGCATCTTGAGGCTTGCGTTTTGAGACGCCACTGACTTTATCGTTACTGTAGCTTTCACTCTCAACCCTTCCTTTAGTCTCTCATTCCTTGGGCTCCTAATACTTCCAAGCATCTGTCGCCGCTGTCAATGCCAAGCTGGGCTAGACCAGTCCAAACACCAGGAGCCAGCTGTTTGCATGCAAGAACCACAAATAAATGCTGGTCTGGTCCTGCCGCTACCCACAATTTCTTCATTAGTTTAACAACGCCTTAAAGGAACAGTTCCAGCAAAGACGTAAATTATTTGAGTAAATCATTTACTCACCCTCATGTCATTGCAAAGCAGTATAACTTAATTTTTTCTGTGTAGCATAAAGATATTTTGAGAAACATCTTGTTTTTATTTGTCTGTACAATGAAGGTCAATGAGGTCCAATGATGGACAATGGACAAAACATTTTGAGTTCCGCAGAAGAAAGAAAGTTTGGAATGAGATGAGGGTGAGTAAATGACAACAAATTTTTCTTGAAGTTAGTAACCAAGGTTATGTCAAGCAAATCAGAACCTAACACCCACTTGGATAGTTATGAGGCTTACTGGGGCGTACTTTGTGGAGTGCATGTTTTACAACATAAGATGTCTACAGAGTGAGACACTCCAAAGCAAGAAGAGGAAGTGCACTCAATGATTCATAAACTTAGTGGGGTGAGTGTCTGAAGCACGTATGAAACAATCTTGCTTTGCTCGAAGGTGCCTCAAGGCCAAAAGGGCCTGGAAATGAATTACAAAAGCAAAAAAAAAAGTTTTGCGTGATCCAGACAAAGACAACATTCATCGCATGCATCTGTCTGGTTCTTAAACAGGAAATACTGACTTGACCTTGATCAACCTTTAGCTGTAAAAATACATAAAAATACAAAAAAATAAAAATGTTCTTAAATCTGAAAACATCAGGCATGGGAGGAGGATCCCACCCTGAGAATGATAAAATATTGTCGTAAAATCAGATGCGAGATGCAAATGCAAATGTTTGCCATTATTACAGTGCCCATAGTCCTTTTTTTGGACATTAAAAGGGGTCCAAATCAGGATTTATAAATTGCCTATAATGTCCAAGTTTTGGCTTTGTTTTTCTGTTGAAAGTCCTTATATATCCAATATACACGTTTCTATATTGCTTTGACTGTTCTCTATATATCCCACCTTATCGAATAGCATAATTTTTCGATCATATACCATGGCCTGCACGCTATTGATCAAAGTACTTTTTAATCACTACCTTCAGTAATAGTAATACAGGATTTACATCTCACATACAGTCGTATTAACAGATTACAGTGTTCACACTAAAAGCATGAACCATTGTGGCACGTGCCTTTCACCGAAATGAAAATGATGTAAAAAGCTTTGTGGGTACAGTTGCGAATGACTGGCTCTCATACCCAAACGAAAATGTATATCTATGGAAGGATTACACAAATATTCCTGTGCTTTCATCCCGGGCAGGATCGTCTGTGAAGCTAATGCGTGTCAGTGGCAAATTAAGGAAACCAATTAGAAACACATATTAGACAAAAAAACATTAGCCAAGGGAAATGAGTTTGTGAGCTAAATTAACTGAATTAAACAAAATAATATTTATTTTATAATTTTATAAGTAGAAATTAATGTTAATTTCTGCCTAAAACAGTTTTTACATTTATCAAGTTGCATAAATGGTATATATCTATGTATACCCAGATAAAAGATTCCTAATTACTATTTTGTTTCAGTTTTTACGATTAAATAGCATTAGGGACCCCCATA